ACCCCCTATTGCATAACCAATAGGCATCTCAAATTTAACATGTCCAAAACTGAGCTCCTAGTCTTTCCCCCAAGCCTGCTCTATGCATGGCTTCCCATACCCTTCAATGGCAACTCCCTCCTTCCATTTACTTAGACCAAAGAAATAGGGACTCACCCTTGACTGCTTCTCAAATCCCATGGCAAGTCTGTTGGGGAATCCTATTAGCTCCACCTTCAATTGTATCTAGAATGTGACTGCTTTTTACCACCTCCACTGCCTCCACCCTGGCCCAAGCCCCCATCACCTCTCACTGGCATTACAGCATTGTAAGTGGTCTCTGCCCTCTTTTGTCTATTTTCAAAACAGCAGCCAGAACAATCCTGTTAAGATGTGAGTCGTTTCATGTCACTCCACTACTCGAAGCCTCCAATGGCTTGGCACTTCACTCAGAGACAAACCCGAAGTCCTAGTGGCCGACTCCAGGACCCCACCTCCCATTACCTGTCTCAACTCATCTCTTCCACGCTCCGCACTCAACTGATTCGAGACCCACTTACGCAGCTTCCTGACCCTTGGAAACTTGCTCCCACCCTGAGCACTGCCCTTGGTCATTCCTCTGCCTGGCATCCTCTTCTCCCAAATATCCTCATGTCTCCACCCCTTTCTCCTTCAGTTCTTTATTCAAATTTCATCTTCTTCACACCTCCCCTCACCACACACTGAAAATTTCAAACTCACTCCTGGGGAACTTCCCATTGCCCATCTCTGCCTTTGTGTTCCCCATAGCACTTATCACTGTGTGGAATACTGTCTATTTTACTCACTAACTTTTTTCAATGTCCAACTGCCCTCTCTCCCAGAATACAAGCTCCAACAAGACAAGGATTTTCTTTTTTGGTCTGTTTTGTTATCCACTCTATCCTGAACCCCTAGACGTGTTCTGGCATATGGTAGGTACTTAACAAATATTCACTGAATGTTAAGTTAATTGTAGACCGTTCAATCTCCCTGTGTCTTCAGTCTGTCAGCTCCTTTCAATGCCCACTTCTGTCTCCTCAGCTAAGGATGCCATCATCTCTCCCCAGGAATAGCACAACAGCTTCCTATTTTATCTGCCTCCAGGATCATCTTCCTCCAACGCCTTTTCTATGCCAGCCACTGGAGTGGTCTTTCTAAAATGCAAACCTGGCCATGTCAGCTATGGGTGAGATGCTATGTGTCCACCAAAACCCATGCTCCCTTTCCCAACTTAGTATTTGTAGCTGGGGAGCAGCTTCATACAAAGGGAACTTATTGCCCCCACTTTTGAGCCAAGTGTGGCCAGATGATGAATATGAACAAAAGGGATGCAGGTACTTCCAGGCCAAGGCTTTTATGAAGCAGGAGTGCCCCCCACCCCCTGCATATTCTCTTTCCCCTTCCACTGTTTGAGACAAGACCCTAATCGATGGGTGAACAACTATATAGAGTGAATCTTGGTTTCTGAATCACTGCATAGAGGAGAGTTCCTGGCCAACTTGAAACATCCTCCCTGGACTGTTAGGTGAAGGAGAAAAAAAATTTATTGTGTTCAATTCATTGCATCAGAGATTGGCTAACTTTTCCTGTAAAGGGCCAGATAATACATACTTCAGCCTTTGCAGTCTCTGCTCATCTTCTTCTTTCTTTCCCAACCATTTAAAAGTATAAAAACCTTTCTTAGCCCAGGGGCCAACCATCAACAGGCAGCCGGGCTGGGTTTGGCCCGCGGGCCATAGTTTGCAACCCCCTACATTGCATGCCCACAGTCTAATCTCTCTTTGGTGTTACACCTTCAGCCATTTCTAACCGTCTTCATAAGAAAGTCCATGCTCCCAAGACTGAAATTCAGAGCTTGTCTTTGCTCCTGTTTCCCCACCCCCGCCACCCTCGTTGCTGTCCTCTTGGTCTCTGAATTTTATACTCTAATCCCCCTGAGCAACCTGCTCGACTTTCTGTGCCCACATATTCCTCCCTCTGGGTCTCATGAAAAGTGCCAATTCTTCCTACAAGTCTGAGTCCACATATATTAATGCTCCTTGGGACCAGTTTCTCAGCCTGACCCCCAAGTTGGTCAGATGCTCCTTGTCCTATTGTCCCCTGTGTGACTTCTCCCAAAGCCCTTGTCCCCCTCCATTTCATCTGTCCACTCACATGTCTGGTTTCTCCCCTCTGTGAGATCTTTGAAGGCAGTGGTGGTGTCTTATTGGTCCCTGAGGCTTGCTGCTGCCTCTCTCTTCCCATTCTGCTATTTAAAGTTGCTAAGGGCTTAGAATAAGATTTTTGATGATATTAGACTGCATACGGCCAGAGATCTAGGCATGTCAGAATCCTGCACTAGCAATCCCTGCCATGTGACGTTGCTGAGAAAGATGTAAATCCAAAGGACAACGGCAAATCAGAACAAGTGGCTGAATATCTATCTCCAACTCTTCCATTATCTTGTGTTTTTAACTGGGCAGTGCCTCCAGCTAAAGACAACATTTCCCAGCCCTCTTGTGACTAAGAATAGCCATGCATGAGCTAACATGATGTGTGGCCTTTCAGACTTTCCTTTAAAAGGATTGGTGTGACACCTGCTGGCCCCCTTTCTCACTGGAGGTAGATGAAACATCCCTCTTGGGTCCAGAGACAAAACATCATAACTGAAGATGTCATGGCCATCCTACCAGATCCAGATTGCCCCCTTCTGGACTGTGACATGACAGCGAAATAAACTTTTATCTTGTTTGCACTACTCTATTTTGGGGACTCATTGTTACAGCAGCTTGGCCTTAATCAATGTCCTAGATAATAAGGCAAAAGCCCTGAATTCCCATGTAAGAATTCAGTGATCCTAAAACCATCACACTGGAGAAATCATGTGTAGGTACTTGAGTCAACTCTCCCAGCCGAACCCGACCTTCTGGCTAGAGCCATCCAGGCACCAGACTTGTGAGTGAAGCCACCTTGGACTCTCCAGATCAGTCTACTCACCAGCTCAGCACCCCCAGTGGACTCCATCAAAGCCACATGGAATAGAAAAATCATGCGTTTGAGCCCACCTGGACTCCTGACCTACGAGATCATGATGTTTAACAAAATAGTTGTTGTTTCAGGCCACTGGGTTTTGGGGGTAGTGTGTTATGCAGCAGTAGTTACCTGGAATAGGCAAAAGAGAATCTAAAGCAATAGGCATTAATGGGGATAACAGAAGTCTATTATATAATGATAAAAAGAAGTTTCCTCCAGATATTTATAAAACTTATAAACTTATATGACACTGACAACATAGCTTCAAAATATGTAGAAGTTTTAAAATGAATGAACTGATGAACAGAGAGTAGGTCAGATATCAAGGTAGGGACAACTGCCAAAAATTAGAATTAAATTTAGGCCTCTCATCAGATAATCCAAGATCTAATGCCTCTAAGAGTTTATATGTCCCCCCAAATCCCCCACCTGACTCTATCATCCTTGATTTTGCTACCCCCAAGAAGTTTCTGTACTAATTAATGGAAGAAAACATTGATTATTTGAAAAGAAATATTTTATTCTCTCCATTCTGCTCCAGATGACCTCTCCTCATTTCCAGCTGGAGGAGGCTTGGATGAGGTGGAAAAATGAAGAAAGGTGAGGATGCTACTCTGGAGCATCTTTTCAAGTCAAGACATCATAGAACCTCAGAGTTAAAAGGGATAATAATATTGTATTGTTCAATAGTTCCTGTTATGATTCCAAAAGAACACAATTATTTTAAATGTACTGCAGGAATATTCCCTGATACCCCCCACATAGAATCTCCTAAATGGTTTCAGAATTATTCTTGAGTTTGTTAACAACACTTTATACTTATTCCAAAGGTTAATTAGTAAAATCTGAAACAGTCCAGCGACTTTTGAGAATAATTCTTCAAATGATCCAAAATTCCATCATGAGATTTGGGGATTTAGCTTCAGGATTTTAGTCTCAGTAGAGAGTGTCTAGACAGGGCTTCAGGAGGAGCTGGAGAGGAGAAGGATGAGGAGCAGAGGTTTGGAGACATCTATGACTGCAGGACGTCTCCCCTCTTGGGAACTCTCTTGCCAAGCTCACTCTGATCTGCGAGAGAGAAAAGGGTGAATTTTGAATGGTTCTGTTTACCACCACCCCCCAAACCAGGTTCTTGAGGTTGGGATGAAACTCTCTTTAGTTCATCTCAGATCCAATAGCCTTCCCTCTTCTCACTCCCTCTTTCCTTTTCTGTTCTACCTTCTTTTTATTTTCATCTACCCACATATTTCCCCTTTCTGCCCCCATTTTAAGATGGCACATGGTGGTGGTGGTGGGTGCTTTCAAGAGCCAGACTGTAGCCAAGGTTGGTGTGGGAATTAGTGAATTCAGAAGATGTGTCATGTCCTGCCCTGGTAGGTGTCTAATAAATAAATGCTTTTCAAATGAATTAGTACAGTTGGAATAAAGGCACTGTGTTAGTTTCCAAAAATAGGGTTAGGACTGAAAAAGGAGATGGAATTGGAAGGAAAATCCACCTGGAGGCAGGCAGAAGCCAGGGTTGATTGTTGACTTTGATCATGGTTGGGAAGGCAGTATGTGAAGACTGAATTTGGATAATTTAGTTCATTCATTTAGCAAATGTTTACCAAGCACCTGCTATGCATCAGCCATTGTGCTAGGCAGTGAGCAGGACAGAAAAGGTCTCTACTCGCATGGAGCTTGGAGTTTTTGGGAGAAGATGGAGAATAAACAGAAAGTCAATATATGAAGCAAAGAAGAATCATATAATGATGAATGTTACCATTAAATAAAACAAGATGACAAAAATAGAGAAAAAGTAGCTTTATTTCAGGGAGTGTCTCTCAGGAGTTGATGACTAAAATGATTTCTGAATGACGTGAAAGATCTAGCCATGCAAAGCTCTAGAAACAGAACATTCTAGGCAGAGGCAACAGCTGGTGCAAAGATTCTAGAGTGAAATGGACCCAGTGTTCCAAGAAAATCAGAAGTCAGAGTTGAGACAGAAGGGCATGCTGGAGTATGAGCACGGAAGAGTATAGAGCTCAGAGTAAGGTTAAAGGTTGGAAATAAAGATCTTCTTTAGGAGGGAGGTCAAAGTTTGGATTGAGCTGTGAGGTCAAAGTGAGGGTTTAAAGTCAGTGTCATAGCTAAAGCTAGGCTTGGGGGAGATCAAGGTTTGGGTTTGGGGTCATAATTGGAAAAGTACCAGATTGTGGGGAAATGCCAGTATTGGTTGGACAACTAGATTTAGACTGTGAGGCAGGATGTGAAGTGAAGGAACAGAGTCGAAGTGAGCAGTCAAGGCCAGGATGGGAATTTAGCGTTAGGATATGTGGTCAGTGGTGGACATTGTGGCTATAAGTCAGGGGGCCTCTTGGTTGATTCCTGTTTCCTCCCCACCCTCCCAGGCCCTCAAAGCTCTGCCGGCCACATCTCCTGCCCTCTTCTTGTATCTATTTCTCTCTTCCATGTTCCCCCTGCCTTTACCTCCAATCTCTGGTTCAGCAAAAGTCTCGCTCAGACTCCTCTTGGAGGCCTGCTGAGAGAGGGGATAAGGGAGCCCATCTAGAAACAAAAACAGAAATCATTGTGACTTATGCCACTCAGTTCAGTACTTTGTACCGTCCAACGTGGTTCTACTTCCCCTGTGTCCTTGGGAATCTGACAGTTCTTAGCGGTTCTCATCCAGGGGCACTTTTGCCCCTCTGGGGATATTTGGCAACATGCAGAGACATTTTTGGTTGTCACAACTTGGAGGTGCTACTGTCTTCTAGAGGTGGAGGCCAGGGACGCTGCTCAACATCCCGTAATGCGCAAGATGGACCCCATGACACAGAGTGCTTCAGCTCCAAATGTCAGCAGTGCCAAGGTTGAGAAATCCTGCCTTAGATACACTTAATTGCCTCCATTTAGAAGGTGACAATGACAAGGAGATTCCCTTCAAGTCATATGCTGCATTCACTGTGTGCATACGCAGGTGTCCGAACCCCTTTGTGCCTCCATGATTCTTTCCCTTGAGATATGACACGGGAAGGAGAAGGGAATCTCAGAGATATCACTTGGTCAGGTAAGAAGAGGAGATAATAGCACCAGGGGTGAGCAAAGAGGAAGTGAATAGGGGATCTTGCAAGGAGATAATATTAAAAATAACAGCTTAGGAATTTTACATGCATTCTCTCATTGAGCCACACAATCGAATTACGAGGTAGTTTTCATGATACCATCTTACATAGGGAGGGGTTTGAGGCTCAAAGGAATTGCATCACTTACCCAGCTCCCTCAATCAGTAAGTGGCAGAGCGAGGAATGGAGCCTACATCCGCCAGTTTGCAAAACCAGTAGTGGGCGCGTGGAGGAGAGTGATGGCGATGAAGAATGGGGGAAGTCTAACTGACCATTCACTCACCAACGGCCTTCCACAGCTCTAGGATCTCGAGGGCTGTCTTCTCCTTCCTGCCTTGGTCAGCCTTCTGGGGAAGGTGGAACTCTGGGGAGTGGGGGAAGAAGCAAGAGCTGGTGGTCTGTCAAATGGCAACGGCAACACACAGAATCCAGCAATCCTGTGGCATTCATTACCCATCTGAAGGAGCACGTCCACCAAATCTGTGGGACGGGGTACGCTTTGACCATCCCTCCTTGTTAGTGAGGAGACTGTGGCTCTGAGAATTCTCTTGCTCAGAGTTACCCCACTGCTAAGTGGCGGAACTGGGGTTTGAACCCACCTATGTCTGAATCCAATTCTTACGTCCTTTCTGCTATGCCACACCGTTATGGGAGCCTGGGTTTTCTTGGACCACTGAATGAGGCCCAAGATGAACTCTGCCTTGAGCATCATAGGGGATCCCCTTATGTAATGGGTTTAATTGTCACCAAGCAGCACATTGCCACATGTGCAAAAAGTGCCCAGTGCAGATGCAGTCAGGGGCACAGAAAGAGAAGGATGGGGGAATATGTCATATATTGCTCTACCTTATCTAATCCTCACGTCATCCCTATGAGGCAGGGGCCTTCATGACACTCTTCATCATAGATGAGGGAACTGAGGCATAGAGAGATGAAGGCCACACACAAAGCAAGTGGCAGAGCTGGACTTGGACCCAATGCTCTGGCTCCAGGATCCACATGCCCATCACTCCGCTAGACTAACTCTCAAGACAGGTCTGGAAACAAAACCCGTGGACTTCAATGAATGTGAGTTGAGGGTCTTTACAGGGTCGCAAACTCACTGCCCACAGGCACCAGGCAGACACTAGCCGGGGATGGAGCGCTCAGAGCAGGCTCACTCACCAGGACCCAGAAGGTAGCCAGCACTGTTGAGGGTCCAGCCTCCTCGCCCCTGGATGGAGATGGAGAGATCAAGACTCAGAGAGGTGGAAGGGTAGCCGGCACCCCCAGGTCTGGGATGGGGTGGGTCAACATGCCCCTTTCCCACCAACCTGTGAAGCAGGTTCGCTTGATCTGAATTTCACCAAAGAGGAAATTGAAGACTTCCTAAGATGTAACAACTCAGAATGCAAAGAAAGCCTTAAAAACCACTGCTGGAAGTCCTTTATATGCATAGTATATTGTCACCAATCACACACACACACACACAGAGGGGTTCAAGGCCAGGCTACATAACTGGATGGCTAACATCTGTTGTGGGTTTACCATATGCTAGCATCCATTATTTTTTTTTCTTTCAATTTTTTTTCTTTTTTGGAGGAAGATTAGCCCTGAGTTAACCTCTGCTGCCAACCCTCCTCTTTTTGCTGAGGAAGACTGGCTCTGAGCTAACATCTGTGCCCATCTTCCTCCACTTTATATGTGGGATGCCTGCCACAGCATGGCTTGCCAAGTGGTGCCATGTCCGCACCCGGGATCCGAATCGGGGAATCCCGGCCCACTGAAGTGGAACGTGCGAACTTAACTGCTGTGCCACCGCGTTGGCCCCAGCTAGCGTCCATTCTAAGCAGGACTGGCTACATAATTTAGGGGGCCCAGCGCAAAATGAAAATATGGGGCCCCTTGTTCAAATGTGATTAAGAATTTCAAGATGGAGACAGCAAAGTGTTAAATCAGGCACAGGCGCCTTCTGAGCGCCCCAGGTGACAGTCCAGGTTGCATGAGCATGAAGCCAGCTCTGCTTCTACGTCCATGACGTATTGACTGATCTAGTCCTCGCAACAACCCTGGTAGGTAAGAACTACGATTAGCCTCATTTAACGGAAAAGGAAACTTCCACAAATAGTTTGGGCAAATTTCCTAAATTAACACAGTGAGCAGCGGGCTGACTTCAGACTTAATGACTCCGTGGACCCAACATTCAAGTCTTAGTTTTCCATTCTGTAAAATGGAAAGTAAACAAATGGAATCAACTCAAAGTGCTGCTGGTGCAACTGCAGCTGCCTGTCAGGGGGGGTTCCCACGGTTCCCGGGGCCAAGAAAGCCCTCCACATCCGTTAGAGCCTTGTCAAAATGCCCTGGCCATCCTCCCAAATAGGTGCTGTTATCCTTTGGTTACACAGAAGCAAGGGAAGCTCAAAGAAACTTGAATGGCTTGCTGAGGACCTGTCAGTGTGAGGATAGCTGGTACCCAAACCCAGGACAACACAACACCAAGCCTGGGTCCCCTCCATTAGATAACGAGAGCTGACTGCCTGCTCACGACGTTCTCAGGGCCTCGCACGATGAACTCAGTTAACCCTGCAGTGCTGTGACTTTACAGAGAACATGGAGGCACTGCGAAATTAGGCAGCTTGCTGGAAGTCATGCAGCTAGAACGTGACAGAACCAGAACTCCAAACTCAGCCCGGTTTCCATATCCCACACTCCTAACCAGGGGTTCTCACAGTGTGGTCTTGGGACCAGCAGCATCAGCGTCGCCTGGGAACGGGGCAGAAATGCAGGCTCACCCAATTGGACTCTCCAGCGGTGGCACGTGGTTGGTTGTACTTCAACACACCCTCCCCTCCGGGCGATTATCATGCAAGCCGAAGCCCTGAAGACGCAGAATGATGGAGAGCTCTGCCTTGGAAGGCATCTTTTTGCATGTCTGGGCAATGCTAATCCTTAGGAAGTGAACCCTGACTCCTCTTATTTCACCTGTTCTATTCTACCCCTGGGGCCAAGGAGATGAAGTCTGTCCCTGTCTTATCGTATTTTCATAGCTTGGTCCCCACGGCCCTGGCTCAGCCAGGAAAATTAGGAGACTTCCTGGAGGGTAGGAAGGGCTCACCTGGTGGACAGGTAAAGAGGCAGGAGTCTCTGCCAGGATGAGCAAGACGGTGAGAAGCAGGACCAGTTGGACAGAAGGAGCCATCTGAGGGTCGGAAGGATGGGCGCTCTGCAAAGAGAGGGTGGTGAGTGTATTTATTTTAGCTTTATTGAGGTATAATTATATGCAAAAAATTGTGCCCATTTAACATCTACATCTTGATGAGTCTGGACTATGTGTACACCCGTGATGCCGTCACCACCATCAAGGCGATGACATACCCACCACCTTCAAAACGTTCCTTGTTTTTTTTTAGTTTTACGTTTTTGCTTTGTTAATGTGAGATCTATTCCCGTGACATATTTTTTCTTCCAGTTTTGCTGAGATATAATTGACATACATCACTGTACAAGTTTAAGATGCACAGCATAATGACTTGACATTTGTATATACTGTGAAATGATCACCACAATAAGCTTAGTCAACATCCGTCACCTCACAGTTACAAAAAAACCTTTTTTCATCGTGATGAAAACGTTCAGGATTTACTCTCTTAGCAACTTTCAAATATACAACACACAGCATCATTAGCTCCAGTCATCATGTTGTACGTTACATCCCCAGGACTTATTTATTTTATAACCGAAAGTTTATGACTTTCGACCACATTTACCCAATTCCCTCAATCCCGCCTCTGGTAACCACCCACCTGATCTCTTTTGCTACGAGTTTGTTTTTTTAGATTCCACATGTAAGAGAGATCATACAGTATTTGACCTTCTCTGTCTGAGTCTTAACATATTGCAAAGTGTACAATACTGTATTGTTAACTGAAGGTTAATCTCTATGCCTTTTTGTCTTAAGCATATGATAGAAAAATAAAACAAACATTTTCAAGTTTCTTGAGATTTTCATGGAGCTCTGTTTTGGAACCCATTTATTAAAGTAAAATGAAAGAAGCCGGTTGAGGGAAAATGCCACAGGAAATAAGCAAGTAACAGGATGTTGGGTACATAAAACCCCCACAACTCATGAAAGACCAAAGTTTAAGATTCAGAGGCATTAACGCTTCTCCATCTCTCATCACAGCACCTGCCTCCCGCCATCCACTCTCCCAGACCCACCGCCGTGCCCTGGAATGCTCGTCCTCATTCCCTCTTCTACCTGTTCCCCAGACTTCCCCGGTCCTCTGCCTGCTCCCCAACTCTCCTCCATCACCACTGCTCTCATTTTACTTGACCCCCCATCCCTTCTTGACCTCCCTGCATCCTCCCTTCTCTCCTCCCGCTTCCCTCCTCTCACCTCACTGGAGTTGGCAGCTCTGCCCAGCTCTCTCTGGGTTCCAACTCCCCAGACTCCAGCTTTTATGCCTCCCAAGGAGGAGGAAGGAGGAGGTGAGAAGGGCAAGGAGAAGGAGGGGGTCAGAGACCAGGAGGGAGGAGGGAGAGAGAGCACAGAGGATGGAGGTGGGATGAGGATTCACCCACACAACGGGCTTTTGTTAGCTGGCCTGTGAGGTCAGAACAAAGATGCTTCCCTCGGCGTCTCCCCTCTGACCCTCTAATCGGAGATGTGTGCTCTGCGTTTATTCAGGTACCCTCCTCCCCACATCTGTGTGTGTTTGGGTCTCAGTGGTGCCCTTTCTATCCACACCCCCTCGGTCTCTCCCGACCTGGAGCCTGTGCCCCCACAGCTCTACACTCCTCTCTCTGCCATCTCTTCAATCTCCGTGTCTTCGAAGTTCTCTTGCTGTGTCTGTTTCTTCTCTCCTGCATGATGTACGTTGTCTATTTCTTTCCTTGTTTGTTGGGTATCTCCCCCTCCCTGGAAAATAAGCTCAAAGAGGGGTGGCAATTACATCCTGCACATCATTGTGTCGCCAGCCCAGAGAGTGTCAACCGGGGGTGGTTTTGTCCCCAGGGAGACATTTGGCTACATTTGGGGACATTTTTGTTTGTAACTTGCGGGGGATGCTTCTGGCATCCAGTGGGTGGAGCCCAGGGATGCTGCTCAACACCCTGCAATGCACAGGACAGCCCCCCACAGTAAAGAATGATCCAGCCCCAAATGTCAATAGCACCTAGGATGAGAGACCCTGTGTCATCCCCTAAAGTAGTGCCTGGAACTCCATAAATGTTTGCTGGGTGAACAAATGCAGGTGTGTTGTTCTCTTTCTTCCTCTCTGTTTCTGCTTTTTGGTTTATCTGTCTCTTCGTTTCTCTCCCTCTCAGCCCCGGACAGCAGCAGTTTTCCAGAGGAAAGAACCCCGGAGTCAAGCGGGGGCACATACCCCTGGCTTTGCCCTTGGCTTCCTGAGAGTCCCGGTGTTTGGGACGCAGTGTCCTCGTCTCTACCATGAAGGGCCAGCCTCCCTTCTGTCTGTCTGAGGCTCGCTCTGTATCTTTGTCCCATCTCTGTATCTTTGCACCAGCCCTCCCACCCCCCTTGAAGGGACCTTTCTGGAACCTCATCCCTTCTCGTCTCAGTTGAAAAGGAAGACCCCATGGGAGGGACAGAGTGAGAGTAAGAAACTGGACCTCAAAAGTCCTGTTGGCTCCTGACCCTGACTTTGCTCCTTATGTTCATCTCCCCATGTCCTTCATTTCTCCTCTGGAGGGGAAGGGGGAGCTCCGGTGGGGGAGGAAGTGACAAGAGGGTGTGAATGGCTCTGCTGGGAAAGAAGATGAAGAAGGATGGGTGACGGAGAGGACAGAGGATGCTGAACGCCTGCCCAGAGCTAGTTGCCTGGAGACCCACAGAGAGTCAGAGAAAAGACAACCACAGACCTCACCTCCCCGGTTAAGCAGCTCATGAAAAGTAAATGTAGTGCGACCAAATCTCATTAAAAAGAAGCCCAGCTGTGGGAGAAATGTCGCTCTCTTCATATTTCTGTGACTGAGCCAAATGTCTGTCTTGAGGCTGCATCCTTCTTCGTGCCTTGGAAATGTAGAAACAAACGCTCCTCTCCCAAGGTGGACACTCCAGTCACCTGTCCTTCATTTGGTCCTGTGGGTGATGAGTCCGCTGGCTTTCACCCACATAGGTGCTCTTCTTCTATGCGTCCCACCTGCGATGGGGACGCCAACCTACACCTGGCCCTGGGGCACGGCAGGAGCCTGGGCTCAAAACTCATCCTCCTTCCTTCCTTCCTATCTCCCTTCCCTCCTTCCTTCCCTCCTTTCTTCTTTCACTTCTTCCTCCCTCCCTCCCTTCCTTCCTTCCTTCTCTCCCTCTCTCCTTCCCTCCTTCCTTCCTTCCCCAAATAGGAATTGGGTGCCTAAAGGTACCATATCCTGCTCACAGTCCAGATGAGCTCATGTCCCAATTATTCCAGTTGCTGAAAGTAGAAAAGATATTTTCTGAGGGCTTCTGAGAAAAAAAATTTCTTCCTTGTTCTTTCCTTGAACTTTCAGGAAAGTTCAAATAATTTCTGAATGCTCAGACTCTCCAAATGTTTAGGTTTTACTGCATTCAGTTTCTCTGATCCCCTTTCTTCCTCTCTCCTCTCCGCATATGGACATACAGATATTCTGAACTGTTTGAGGGTAGTCGCAAACATTGTGCCCCTTTGCTCCTAAACTCTTTTCAGTGTGTTTTTCCTAAAAGCAAAGGACATTCTCTTTTTCCTAAAAGCAAAGGACATTCTCTTATGTAACCACAGTAAAACTGTCAAAATTAACATTGATATCCTACTAATGTCTAAGCTACAGATCACATTAAAATTTCACCAACTGTCCCAGTAATGCCGTTTATAGCAAAATGAAAGAAAACCCAAAAAACCCCTCCACGCCTCTTTAGTCTCCTTTAACTGGAAGAGTTCCCCTTCTTTCCTTCTTTCGTGACCTTGGCGTTTTCCTTGACATTTTTGAAGAGTACCAGTGAGTTGACTTCTCCATTTGGGTCTATCTGATGTTTGCTCGTGATTAGATTCAGGTTATGCATGTTTGGCAGGAAACCCACAGCAGTGATCTCAGTGTCATATACATCACAGCTGAGCGTATCCCGTCATGGGGGCACGGGACGTCGACTCATCCGCTGCCTGTGATGTTAACTCTAATCACCTGGTTCAGGCGGTGTGGCTGGCTTTCTCCACTGCAAAGTCACTTTTTGTCCCCTTGTAATTACAAAGTGTCTTGTGGGGAGATACTTTGAGACTGTGTAAGTGTGCTTCCTTGCTCTTTTGAGAGAGTTTCCAGAAGCACCTCTGTCTGTAGATATAGATGTGGATATAGACATGGAAATGGATATAGATGACATAGATATAGACGTAGATAGATATGTATATCTAAATCTCTCTTCCTTAGAAGGAAGCCCAGACCCACGAGTTGTTATGTCACCCCATCACCATGAGGGGCAGCCGTGCTTACGATGAAATTAACAACACAGAAGGCACAGTGGAAACTGAGCAACCCAGTTCAACAAACCTCAGAGCCGCCCCCGCCCCTGCACTCCTAGTCCTGTGTTCCTATGCTGTTATTAAGCCAATTAGAGTTGGATTTTTTAAACAACCTTATTGAGGTATAATTTGTGTACAAAGAACTGCACATGTTTAATGTAGATAATTTGATGAGTTTACACATAGGCAAACACCTGTGATGCCATCACCACAAGCCAGATAGCAGATATGTCATGTCCAACACTTCCCAGAGTTTCGTTGTCTGTCTTTGCTTTTGGTTTTTCTAAAGACAGATCCTCCAAAGGAGCTCAATTGTCTAAATGCCCTCCCAGGGAGTTTCATCCGTCAGGAAAGACTGGCTCTTATCTCAGGAGAGGAGACCAGAAGTCAACACCATACCCAGATGCACTTCGTCACAAACTGTCATACCACCTGTCTATTCTTCTAAGGGCCCATTCATCTTTCCTAAAAATCATTTACTCTCCCCTAAAAGCCCACATCCCGCTCCCCTTCCCCTATTAAGATGGTATTTAAGCCGGAGTTCTAAGCCACTTCTTTGAGTTACTCATTTTCTCCTGGCTATCCTCCACGTGTACATGAGGCACACACATCAATAAGCTTCTGTTCGTTTTTCTCTCATTAATCCGTCTTTTATTGAAGGCTCTCAGCCAAGAACTCAGAAGGATAGAGGGAAAGTTGTTTTTCCTTTCCCACACATCTCTCCCGCTGGTAGCTTTGAGGACATCTCCATTCCCATCCCTCCAGGCACTGGCCATACTGTGTTCCCCACAAGTGTTCCTAGTCCACCAGCTCTCCACACCTTGTCCTTGTCTCTCTTGGGCATCCAGGATGCAGTCTTCTTCTCCGTGCACACGGTGGTCCAGGGGACCCTCCAAAATCATTTCCAGTCCATTCACCTAGATAAAGACCCTGAGGTCTACTCTGGAGTCTTGGCCATCTGGTAGACTGTACTAATGCCTTCTCTACAGCTTTCACTCAGCTACCCTTGCTTCCTTCTGTTCAAGGATGGAGAAGCATTGTCCTCAGAGCGGTAGGGTCCTTCCCTCTGGCCAGGAGCATAAACCATGTTCAGTATAAGCCAATCAAGGTGTGTCAGTTTGCTTGGGCTGCTGCAACAGAGACCACAAACCGGATGGCTTAAAACAGCAGAAATGTATCGTCTCTCAGTTCTGGAGGCCAGAATTCCAAGACCAAGGGGTAGGCAGGGCCACGCTCCCTCTAAAACCTGCGGGAGGATCCTTGTCCTCTTCCCAGCTTCTGGGGGTTTGTAGGTAGACTGTTTGGTTATTTCCTTTGTAGCACTCGTTACTCAATACATTAGCTCAAGTCCTTATGCTTTTATCGTGCCTCCCCCAACTAGTATGTGAGTTGCATGGGGCAGGAACTTGTTCTTTTTCACTGCAACATCTTTAGTGCTTCGAATTAAAATCAGTACCTGGCACCTAGTGTATGCTCACCTATTTATGGAATTTTGTCTTCAGCTGCCATTGGGAACAAGTGAAGTTGACCATATGACAACAAGGGAAAGAGCCATGAAGTCCAAAGCTTCAGGAAGCCACAGGAAGACAGATTTAATATAAAGGTAAGAAGGATTCACTAGTAGTTCTGAGCTTGGAATGTGGGGGTATCCAGAGGGGCTAGGGAGATGTCCCTGTTCACCCCTAGCAGTTTTCAAGTTTATTGACTCTGTGTGTGCATATCGCCATTTCTCTGAAATAATGACTAAGAATCTTTTTCTCCACATCTCCTCTCCCCACCTCCCCCGCCTGCCACTCTCGACACACACGTTCTACTTCTGCTGGGAACACTCATTAACATCCAAAGGAACTAATTATCCACTCCATTTATTTTCCATCAAGTACTTGAAGGAATGAGGTACAAGGATTTAGCCTGCCCCCAATTACTAATGTATTTAAGTGCCTAAAGGATGATTGCTGTAAATTGAGAGACAGAGGAGAAAACTGGAGGAGGAAACAGGAGGAACTGAGTTTTCTTTCTCTCTGCGCTCTTCTACTTTAGAAGACCGAGAAAAAAATAGAGAAATAGAGATGAGGATGGATAGAGATAGATACATACATACGCACATAAATAGAAAGGTAGATAGATGATAGATATATAGATAGATAATAAGTAGATAGATGATAGATAATAGATTATTGATAGCTAGATAATAGATGATAGATAAGTAGATAGATGATAGAGATAGATAATGAGTAGATAGATGATAATACATAGGTAGATAGATAGATAGGTAGATTGCAAATTCAATCATGTGAAGCAGGCAGAGAACATCTTAATGCATAAATATTTCTACAAGTTTCTCATTAATTTATTAGGCTCAAATCCTAGAGGAAAGGTAACTCAGTCAAAAGTTATGAACAACCTGAGGGTCTTAGTGTACCAGTTTTCAGCTCCACCAGCACTATAGAAAGGTACCTGTTTCATCTGAGAGAGTTATAATTTTGAGGGAAAGTTAATGAGAGGGGTTAGGAAAGACATAAGCACTGTTGATGTAGGAGAAAGACCTAATTGGATTATTGAACCAGAACGATTGAATTCTTAGACTTTTAGAGATGGTTGGGCTAGTGAAGCTGAAAATCATACTATCAGAAGCATTAAGATGTTGAAGAAGTGACAGGATAGGAGTCTGTGGTCCAGAAGACACGCTTCAGAGTTGACTCTCCTGAGAACATTCCTGTGCAAAGGGGTGGTGAGTCAGAATGGAGTGGAGCCAATGAGGTGTACAAGTGTTGACAGCAGCATGTGAAAAACATCACTGATGCTAATGCTGCATTCACACCATTGACTCAGGTGGAATGACGTGGCCTGGAGAGCGCAAACTCACGGGCTAGAGTCCTGAAAGGTGAGCGAGTGCCCTGGAGTTCAGCAGATGACAACAGCCACAATGGGAAGTAGACGCAAAAGTTGAGTGGAGATCAACTTGTAAAAAATAAAAAGGAGTGCAGAAAACGTGGCAACCTCTCTTGATTTTGAATGGGAGGGAGTGCAGGAAACGGAACAGAGATGGTTGTGTGAGAGATGATGGGCGCCTTCATGTTAGTGGGGTGGGCTGTGTCTTTCTAGCGTTTGCTTTCCTTGTAGGTGCACAGATAATATCAATGGGATTGAAAAGGGGGTTGTATATTGACAAAAACAGAAAGGGAGAGAACATTCTACGTTGGCTTTGCCAGATATTGCTGGATGACTCCCTTCCTGCAGAGTCTGCAACACGCTAGACTGAAAAATTAAAAAATAAAACAACGGGTGGCCCAGTGGCTCAGCTGTTAAGTGCGCACGTTCTGCTTTGGTGGCCAGGGTTTGCCGGTTCGGATCCCGAGTGCAGACATAGCACCGTGTGGCAAGCCATGCTGTGGTAGGCGTCCCACATATAAAACAGAGGAAGATGGGCACGGATGTTAGCTCAGGGCCGGTCTTCCTCAGCAAAAAGAGGAGGATTGGCAGATGTTAGCTCAGGGCTCATCTTCCTCAGAAAAAATAAAATAAAATAAAATAACATGAGCTAAAAGGTCATAATGAAAGTATGGGACAAAAGCCTGACGTGACCATGGCAGGCTGTGTCTTTCATGTTAATAACTCTGGTCACCATGATGGTTTGAGGAGGACTGTAACTTAGAGGGACTGTCAAATTTATGATGGAAAGGAGGGTTTCTTTCTAAATATACATACGAATGTCTTAAAATTTTACCCCTTCTGAGCTGGGCAAGTTCTAAAAATCCATGCCCACTTTCTGTGTTGTCCAAAAATTTGGCATTCATAAAACTCTTAAAATTTTATTTTATTTACAATATGAATCTGTATTTTTAAAATTTTAATTTTCTTTCTTTTTTTTTGAGGAAGATTAGCCCTGAGCTAATGTCTGCTGCCAATCCTCCTCTTTTTGCTGAGGAAGACTGGCCCTGAGCTAACATCTGTGCCCATCTTCCTCTACTTTATATGTGGGACGCCTACGACAGCATGACTTGCTGTATGGTGCCATGTCCGCACCCAGGATCCGAACTGGAAAACCCTGATCCTCCAAGAAGCAGAACGTGCGCACTTAACCACTGCGCCATCAGGCAGGCCCCAAACTCTTAAAATTTTAAAGTTTAGACCCACATCTGTCTTTTCAATCTTACCAAAGAATTCCCCTCGCATACACGCAATATAACAGGAAAGGGGGTGCTTCTACAGGTTAAAAACAATGTGCATGAAAGCTTTATTTCTCTTTCCCATCCAAGAAAGGAGGTAAAAATAGATTTGGGGGCATGGAGAGGTGTGTATCCTTCTTTCCTGTACTCAGCTTTGAGCAACTACCTCTGTCCATTGTGCTGAATAGTCAACGGTCTCCCTCAACCTTGTCTTGGACCAAAATGAAGAGATTACAATCAACCCTCTGCAGGACATGGGTGTGCTATTGTTTGGGGTTGGGAATCTGAGTTAGGATTAAGACCCCCCTCTCTTTCCTGCCCATAAACCAAGGTCAGTGTTGTTCCAACACCCTCCACTTGTCCACTCCTGTCTCTTCCACTTCACCCCATAAAGGAGGGGTTTGGGAGCCATTGTTCAGTCATCGCCCTGACTCAGAAGGGAGCAGTGAGGAGACATCCTTGCATCTCACTGGCCTGTCATGGGACTGTGGGAAAGTCACTACAGGTCTTTGGACCCCAATCGCCAACCTGATAAGTTGAGGAACCAGATCAGATGTTGCAAACTTTGGTAAGCCACACCAGACTCTCAGGGATGCTTTTGGTGTGTCTGCTTGTTTGCTCATGTTTTCTTTTTGTCTGTTTTGGTTCCTCTGTGGTGTTTTTGAAGAAATGCAAATTAAGCCACCAGTGTGTAGAGTTCAGAAATTTCACATAAAAATCCAGATTTCTGGCTTCTCTTGATATGTCAGAGGGTCTGTAAACACTGCATCCAGGTCCCCTACTTCCCTGGGGCTGGGTAGCAGCTTTTGACAGGACTTGTCCTTTCCATTTCACCACAGACCTCACCAGTCCCTAATGTGTCCCTCTAGGCTCCTTTACTCATTTCTGCAACCTCCTTGGGCCCTATTATATTTCACATGAAACGCCTGCTCTAGAAACCCTCAAATGCCTCAGATTGAACGACTAATACAGAACTTTCCCCCGGGCTTTGTGACGGGAAGCGGATATCTGCAGCAGCTTTTGGCTGGCTCCCTGCTCTGGAATTCAGCACTTTCTGATGTCTTAGTGTCCTGGCATCTCTCATTCCCAGGGCTGCTTTGTGTCTCTTTCTGCCTCTGTCATGTCCCGTGTGCCTCACTCTCTGCTGCTCTGTATTTCTTTTGAGGAAGAAAGGGACATAGGAAGAGAATGGACTTCAGAACCAGACGTGCCTGGGTTTGAATTCCAGCTCGGCCACTTCCTAACCAGCCATCTGAGCATCAATCTCCTCATCTTTAAAATAGGAATAATAATAATAATAATAATATCTTTACAGGGTTGTTGTGAGGACATTTAAGTATTGGGGACCCTGCGTATAAAGCAGGCTGAGAAGGGACCCACTGTGGAAGGGGGTCTTCATCAACTATCCCAATCCTGTTAATAGTAAGCATCAGCACCTACTGGGTTCCAAGTGGCATGTTGTATACCTGACCTCACCGAATCCTCCCAACCACCCTATGAGGTAGCTGTCACCCTCCCTGAACCAATGACAAACATGGGGGCTCAGAGAGGTTAAGTAACTTTCCCAAGATTGTGCAGCTAGTAAATAGGCAGATCCAAACCTGGGCATTTGGACTCTGGAGCCTGTTTGCTTAACCATCATGTAGTCACGCCTCTCAGTAATAAGTAACTTCCTATCTGCACGATTAGAGAAAAGGATGCGCCAAGAGGGGCCACGTTGGACCCGAGGTCACGGGCGAGGGAGGAAGTGGAGGACACTTGGTTCTTTTCCCAGAACTGATCACCAGCACCCGCAACTTGTCATCTGAGCCTCCTGCTTTCATCCTCTTCCCACCTCCATCTGTTCTCCACATGGCAGCCAAAATATTCCTTTTAAAATACAAATAAGATGATGCAACTCCTGCCCAAACCTCCCAATGGCTTCAAAGCATGCCAAAAATACAACTAAATTAGCCCACACGTGCTCACAACTCCTCTCCTTGCTCCAGCCACGCTGGCATTCTCCGAACCTCCGACTCATCGGTGCCTGTGGCCTTGGCACTGGCTGTTCCCTACCCCTGTACCGCTCTTCCCCGCATCTTGGCATGGCTGGAGGGGCATCAGCCAGGTGCCCGCCCAGAGTCCTCTGCGGAGTCCTTCCCTGACAACCCACCTCCACTGTCCACTCCTTCACTCCCTCTTTGTCCCATCTCCATGTCTTCGTTTCTTAGAGCAGGTGTGTCACTCCCTGCACCCTCATTTACGCATCTGTTTATTGTTTTCTGTCTTCCTCCCCTTTCCCTGGACCAGTAGGATGTAAGCTCGACTGGACAGTGACTTCGTTTTGGTTGGCTGCTACTTCGATGGACCACCTGACACAGACCTGGGCACAGCAGGCTCTCGTTAAAGACTGCTGAATAAATGAAGAGCTTGTAGGAGAGTGATTGCACTTGGGGCCCCAATTCTCCACCGTTTCCTGCATCCAGCCCCTGCGCAATGCACCTTTGCCACCTGCTCATCAAGAGGCTGTCTCCTTCCTGACCTCCTGATGTGGACTGGCCGTGCAGCTTGGTTCAGCTGATAAAACCCGGTGAGAGTGAGTCGTGCTGGGTGCAATCCTGGCCCCAAGAGGCCAGGCACACCTCTGCTCCCTCTGTCTTGCTCACTCTTGGAACCCCACCACTGCCACGTGAAAATGCTGACTAGTCTGCTAGAGAATGGAGACCTTTTTCAGACAAGGTTGATTCTTGCTGAGTGACAACTCACTACTCCCACCTCTCTCACCTCCTCACACTCTATGTATCACTCGTCAGAGCAACGGGAAGCCGTGAAGTCTATTTTAAGCAGGAGGAAATGAGAACACATATGGCTTGAGCTAGACGGGGCTGATGAAGACGGGGAAGGCCGTGGGGATATATCCGGGATATATTTTGGAGGTGGAACCAGAAGGCATTCGGGGGGATCAGTGAGCGGTCACCCACGAGAGACACACTGAAGATGGACCAGGACACTCCTGCTGTTCACCTGCTCACACAGCGAGTAAGAAGCGGGGTCAGGTTTGGACCTGGTATGTTGACTGCCTTTCACTGGAGCAAAGGGCGGGGTAAGGGGAGGCGGGTAATACAGCCAGAGGGGCGACTGAGGAGAAATCAACTTCTTTCCGCTGGGTCCTGACAGAGGCACCTGCGCCAGGCCCCCGAGGAGATGAAGCAGGAGGAAAACCACGGCTGTTGCCCAATTTGCAGCTTCTGGCCACCTTCCTGGTCCCACAAGGACCCCTGTGGGCAATAGTCTCCCTTCTCGCCACTGAAGAAGGAAGCAGGAGAGCCGAGGCCCAGCATTCAAGGCCGCAATCCAGGCTCTCTGGTCTGCTGGCCAGTCAATAAAAAGGACCGTGGACGTGGTGGCCTGTGAGTCACGGGAGGCCCGTCACAGGCTGTCACAGTGGTGATTGTGGGGTAAGCTGTTGGTTTCATTTGTCTATTTTTCTCTTGAGATGCAGAAGTCTGCTCACCATCACTGGTCTGTGCAAAGCCCTTCTCTTTTTAAATTTATTATAGTATTCCCTTTTTTTTTAAAGATTGGCACCTGAGCTAACAAGTTGCCAATCTTTTTTTTTTTCTGCTTTATCTCCCCAAATCTCCCCGGTACGTAGTTGTATATCTTAGTTGTACATCCTATTAGTTGTGTCATGTGGGACGCCGCCTCAGTGTGGCCTGACGAGCAGTACCATGTCCACGCCCAGGATCCGAACCGGCAAAACCCTGGGCCACCACAGCGGAGCACGCGGACTTAACCACTCGGCCATGGGGCCGGCCCCTATAGTATTCCCTTTTATCATCACTGCTCAGTCCCACTCTCCTCCCCTGGGGGCAATCACTAACATACTTGGTAGGCATCCTCGCATCTTTTACTACTTCTAAGTATTCTTTTAACATCTGTTATTTGGAGTGGGGCGGGAGGGGTGGCGCTCCAGCTCTCACTACATTCTTTTTCTTGTTTCCACTCAGCACCATGTTCTGAAGACGAAGTCATGTCGCTGAGGATGCCTCCAGCTCATTGCCTCCAACTCCTGGTAGTATTCAGTAAAATCAGAGTTACTGAATTTTTGAAAACAATTTTCACACAAATAGGCAGCAAGCCTGGGCTGATGTTTCATTCAGCTCACTGCAGACAGACCAGCAGTAGGTCAGAGCTGGTTCAGAAGAGGACGGGAAGGCCAGGATGGCAGAGTCAGGGGGAGGGCTTCAGGAGCACGGGGGCTGTGTCAGAACTGCCTCACATCCTGAGGACGAGCAACCTGGCCGCCTGGGGTCATCCTGTCTACCAGACAGAGTCACAGTGGCCCCCACACCCAACCAGCTTTGTACAAGTTAGCCTCTAACTTGACAGGACTGGCAAACCAACTCGTCTCCAAACTACCATTAGTCCAACGCAGTTGCATGTTCAAGGAGTTAGAGACCCTCAGGCAGAATATTTTTTTTAATGCTCTAGAGTGATTTTATAAGGTGCACATTTTCACCTTATTTCCACGTGTTGGACAACTTTTACTGAGCGGTGTGGGTGCACCTCCCCTTCCCCACTCTCCCAGGCATGGACATTTTTTGCTCCAATTTCCGAGCGACACTGCGATGAAATGCAGTACGCGTATTTCCGTGGCCACGCGGGCGAGTCCGTCGGGTGCGGGGGCGGTGGGTCCACAGGCAGCGAGATGTACGCTTGCATCTTTGGACAGGGCTGCCAATGGTTGTGTCTGTGCCCCGCCCCCCCTCCCCCCCCAAGCTGGGCACAAAGCTTGTATCGCCCACGCGGAGGATCTTTTGTTTTGTTTTAGCCTTCCAGCAGCACCTCCTTCCTGTTTGGGGGATCCCCGCCCCGGGTCTTGGAGGAAGGCATGGCCCATCATCAGACGTGGAATCCTTAGACCAACGCTCCCCCTGGCAGGCACAGAGGGCTGGGCGCGTGAGTGCTGGGGGAACTGTCGGGTCTCCGCGTCTTCCTGGTTGACTCCAGGGGTGTTCCTTCCCAGCCCCTCCATCCCTAACCACAACCAGGCGCAGGCAGGACTCTGCCTCCTGAGCGAGTGCCATGAAAGCCGAGAGTGGGTGGGACACCTGAGGGACAGTCCACACTGATGGACACAGTGTGTGTGTGTGTGGGGGGGGGTCTCCCCAGGGGCAAGTGAAGGTCTGGGGGAGCTCATCAGGAGAGGAGGGATGGAGTCTCAACAGCCACAGCAGCGGCAGTGCCGGCAGCAGAGGTGAGGAGCCCTGAGTGACGGTGGGAGCTGGAGGAAATACAGCTATGTGATGAGCAGGTGCCAGGGTGCTGGAACCTGAGCACCCGGGTCCAGATCAGTGACTGCGGCCCAGCCACTTACCTTTTGAGTGCCTGAGTTTCCCGGTCTGTGTGACGGGGATAACAATAGTGCTGCCTCAGTGGGTCATGATGATTAAATGAGTTGGCGGATTTAATCACTTCAAGGAGGATCTGGCCCATGGTACGCGCCAGTTTTTGCTGTTATTATCAGAACCCCATGCTCAGACCCCAGCCTGGCCTCTCCCCCACCCCCGCATGTTCCTCATCCCCTCCTGAGGCCTGCAGCAGATGAGGTGGCTGCTCCAAGCCCGTTTCCTCTGCTAGACAGTGGGCGCAGTACCCTCCAGAGGCATAGACCTCTGGAAGGAGGACACTGCCACAAAAGATGCCCGTGGGCGCTCACGCTGGGCCGGGGAGGGCTAGGCACTTTGTGCTCATTCCCTCACTTCCTTTCCAACAATGGGCCCTTCGCAGCAGGAATGCGATCAGCTGTTTCACCAGGTGGGCACTGAGGCCCAGGGGCCTGTTGGGCACCCCGGCGGTCACTGTCTTGCCCTGAGACTGCCGGGCACCTAAGGCTCCCTCAGCTGTTTGGGTAGTTTCCTGCCTTATGGGTCTGGGAAGGTGGGGTCAGCCTCTGGTGACAGATGCTGGACAGTCCAGCTAGCTGCCTTCCCAGATTTCCTTGCATCTAAGGCACAGCCTGTGGCCTGGGTTTTATTGGTCAGACACACCAGTATCGCCCTGGAAAGAAAGAACCAGGGCCTGGACCCCAGGACATTGTGCTGAACTGAGAACAAGGGGCGAGAGGCACCTTGGAAAGGGGGCTGGCCAAGGTCTGCACTCAGCAGTGAGCCACCCAGTGCCCCACACTTGAGCAGTCCCAGACTCATGGCCGCCAGACTCGAACCCCACCCCCAGGAGGAGACTGGATTCCTCTTGGCTAAATGGGCCACCCAAGAGACCTGCTGATATGGACATCTAGGGGTCCCCCATGAAATGGGGTGACCTACCCCAAGTAATACTCTTAGCAAGGGAGATGGGCATCATCGTTCTTTACAGATGTGGAAACTGAGGCTCAGAGAGGGGTGTGACCTAAGACTACGTAGCCAGTTTGGCGCTGGGCTGGGTCCCTCCTCCTATCTCTGTAAGATGCAAGTGGGGAGACTTGCTCCTGGGGCCACGAGGTGGGGCCACGAGGTGACGTGCGTGAGCACTTGCTGTGCTGTGCAGACGTGGGTGAAAACTCACGTCCTGTCGCCTAACGGGACTCCTCATCTCTAGGCTCAGCAGGGGACCGTGCCCCAGGGCTGAGCCCATTCTCTCAAGGCCTCCCGCATACTCAGGGGGTCCGAGGTGGGACCCACAGAGCCCTCTTCGAGAGGCGCTCAGCTTGTGGAGGGCGGCCGCCTAGGACAGAACCTGGGACTCCGGGTCTGCACACCTCATCAGTGACTTTATTACTCTGCAGATGCTGGTGAACTGTCATCTCCGATGCGCTTGCCATGAGCAGGCATCTCTGTCCATCTCATGCCTTCCTGGCTTGCAGGGAGGAAAGGGAGATGGAGGAGCCCACCGCCAGGCCCCCGACCGTCCTGTCAACCATCCCCCCCCCCCGTCCCCATCTGTCCCTCAGTCTGTCCTGAAGGGTCTCCTAGGGACAAGATCCGGTCCCCTTCCTCCAGCCTCCTCTTGATCAATGGGGCCGGGCCTGCTGCTACTGCCCTCGCTCCTCTTCTGAGCTCCTGGCCCGCCTTGTTCTCCACGTTGAGGGTAGGGAGTGAGTGGACAGGAAAGGAGGGAAGCGGGAGGGGAGGGGGAAAGGGAGGACACGGGGAGACACCTTTTACAGCGTGGGTGAGGCTGGGAGGTCAGGCAGGATGACAGAGCTCACCTCACGTCTGAGTAGGACAGGGAGCTCTGGACAGAAAGAGTCAGCAGGGCACACAGAGCATTAGGACTTGGGGAAGTCAGACGGGGAGGAGCGGATGGAGAGAGGCAGGCAAGGAGCCGCTGCTGGAGGAGGGCTGCGGGACGGGCCTGGACCGCCAAGGGCGGCGGCAGCTACCCTAGCGGCCAAGGCGGGAAGGTCCCCCCGCCCTCGGGGCCCGTGGGCGCCGGCCCGCCAGCGCCGCCCGCCGCGCGGCCGTGGATGCGCTGGTGGCGCAGCACGTGCTCGCGGCGCCCGAAGCCCTTGCCGCACTGCCAGCAGGCGAACGGCCGCGCGCCCGAGTGCGTCTTGCGGTGGCGCACCAGGTGCTCGCGCCAGTAGAAGGTCTTGCCGCACTCGCAGCAGGCGTGCGGCTTCTCGCGCGCGGGCAGCGGGCGCAGGGCTGGCCCGGGGCCGCCGGGGTGCGTGCCGCGGTGGCGCCGCAGGTGCTCCTTGCGCCGGAAAGCCTTGCCGCACTCGGGGCAGGCGTGCGGCTTCTCGCCCGAGTGGCTCTGCCGGTGGCGCAGCAGGTGCGCCGGCTTCAGCGAGGCCTTGCCGCACTCGGGGCAGGACGCGGCGCCCGGGGCCGCCAGGAAGGCGGGCGGGCCGGGCGCGGGCGGCGCGGGCGGGGGGCTGCCCGGCTCCTGCTTGTAGGGACGCGCGGCCTGGGCGTCCCCCGTCGCCAGCTCCTCAGCCCGCGTGGCCGCATCTCCTGCCGGGCAAAGACGCAGAGTCAGGGCGGCCGGCGGCTCCGCGCAAGGCGGGGCGGCGGGGTGCCGGGGGTGCGATGGTTAGGAAGGGCAGTGCCGGGGCGGGCCTAGGGACAGTTAACGCCAGGAAACCGTTGGGATGGGAAGAGGGTTGACCGTGGCCACCTTCTTCGTCCCTGTGTCCCCGGTACAGCACAGTCCCTGGTGCACAGTAAGTGCCCAATAAATAGATGTAGGAGGGATGGCTGGATGGATGGTGGGTGGGGGAGAGCGTATGGGGGAGTCCCCTGAATGGATGCGCAGGAGGGCAGACTGATGGGTGAGTGGTGGGGGGGTGGACACGTTGACTGTATGATGTACCAGGGCGCAGGTACCTGAGTGGGCACCCAGGCAGACCAACGGGTGGGTGGGGGAGTGGGGATGGGTAAGCTGGCTGGAGAGATGAAGCACGTATCTCCTTTTCCCAGGTCTTCAAACTGCCCTATGGAACTACAGGGAGATAAGCAACCTTTGGTTTTGTTTCGCACTAGGACAGGCCTAATAAGAATAGCAACGGCTAACACCTGTTGCTCTCTGCCTGGGTGCCTGGCACGTGTGGAGCATGTCATCTCGGCCTCACAGCGCAGCGAGGGCAGGGCTAAGGCCATGACAATGGCGCATATCTCAAAGGGCTGCCGTGGGATTTCAGAGACCTGGCACACACCAGCGGCTGGGATGCTCACTGCGGGCTGGCTGTCCTGTCTGACCCCCACTCGCTGTGCCCTCCAGGGCAGGGGAATGTCTGAGCCATCTCCAGCCCTGGTGCCCAGCACAGGGCCTGACACACAGGAGGGACGCCAGGGTCGGTCACTGAACAAATGAAGGACGGGCAGGAGGGGGACCCCCCTTGGGTAAGGAGAGGAGAGCGGTGCGGGAAAGGGGGTGAGCTGCTCACCTAAGGGAACCATCCCACTGTCTTCCTTTCCAGCGCTGACCCCAGAGCCTTCTGTCGCATCCCGAGGGGCCCTCATGGCTGGTCCCTGAAATGAGAGACACCACATTCCAAATTGAGACACCTGGGCGAGAGCCTCTATTTTTCCACCTCTGTCCCCACCACCTTCAGCCAGTCCAAGTGCTACCGCTTGCTCTGGGGGACACCGCCTGTCCTGCTGGAGGACGCTCAACCACCCACGGCGAGGCCCACGGGGTGAGGAGCTAGGTCTCCTGCCCACCACCATGTGAGGGAGCTCCTCCAGCCCCAGGCCAGCCTTCAGGTGACCACAGCCCCGGCCAACATCTTCACTGCCAGATCCGCCCCAAATTCCTGACCCACAGAAACTGCATGAGATGATGTTTTACTGTTTTAATTAAGTCTGGGGTCATTTGTTATGCACAATAGATAACTGATATGCCTGCTTTAAATTTTACTTTAGTTTCTTACTGCCCCTTGCAAACTCCTTGACAAAATGCAGAGGAAAAACACATAAGCGACTTTTAACTCAGAAAAAATTTAAGTAGGTTCAGAGTGGAACTCTTCCCCGGCTCAAGCGGTGGACAGCTTCTGAACAGGACGGCGCCAGCCAGGAATAACGAAGGCTAAAGTTTTCGGTTCCTTACACTATTGTCACTGTTCCTCAAGGCCACGTCCTCGAGGAAAAGATCAGAATTCTTCTGGAGCCGATGGAGGAGACCTGACTCATGAGTAACATGCATCTAAACCCTTTTCTCACATTTCACTTGTTTCAGATGCTTTTGGACTAAAGTAACCATCAGGGTGAAAATTAGCCATGCCTAAAATTCTGTCGGTTGGTGAGAGGACTCAGCAGGGAGCTTCCGGAGCCTTCCATAAGAGTGCAGTGCTTGGGATCTATAAATGCCCACTGTCTGGCAGGGGCAGGATGGACACTGCATGGTCACCTTTCCACCCTGGCAGTGAACTGATTCCTGATCACTCCTGCAGCTCAGGGCGCTGTGGTGTGTGGCACAGGCACTGTCCCCTGCTTGCTTCTGCTGCAGCCCACAAGGCCCAGCGTGCCCTGGCCCCTGCCACCCTCTCCAGCCCCACCTCTAGCTAGGTACCTGCCTGGAACAGTAATCAGCTTATGGTGTCCTGGGCATGCCAGGCTCTCTCCAACCTCCACTCTCTTGCACACGCTATCCCCTCTCCCTGGAACCCCCTCTCCCATTCCCTTCACCCCGTCTCCCTCCACGTCCTTCAGGAACTGACCGAGCCCCCATCTCTGCCACCCCTATCCTGGTGTCTGTCCCACTGCACTTTTTAACAGCTTTATTGAGATGTGATTCACGTGCTACAGAATTCACGCACCTGAAATACAATTCATCGGTTTTCAGTATATTCAGAGTTGTGCAACCATCACCACCATCAATTTTAGAATATTTCATCCCTCCCAAATCTCGAGCCCCTCAGCAGTCACTCCCCTGGGAACCACCAATGTACCTTCTGTCTCTATGGATTTGCCCATTCCAGAAGCTTCATATAAATGGGATCATGCAATACATGGTCCTGACTGGGTTCTTTCACTTTTTCCCCCACGATGTTTCCGATGTTCATCCCAGCTGTAGTGTGTGTCAGCACTGCATTCTTTTTATGGCCGAGTAATATTCCCTTATATGAACATCACACATTTTGTTTATCCACTCCCCAACTGGGGGACGTGTGGGGTGTCTCCCCTTTTGGGCCATTCTGAACGCTGCCGCCCTGCTGTCCTCAGACCGCACCACGCACGAACTTCGTGTGGACGTTGTTTTCGTCTCTCTAGGGTGGACACTCAGGAGTGAACTGTGGGCTCACATATCACCCTATTTAAGCTACTGGGGAACTGCAGGCTGTTTTCCACCACAGCTGCGCCACTGTGCACTCCCATCACCGTGGAAGAGGTTCCATTCCTGGTCCCTCTTACGGCAGATGCTGAGCGAATGAACGGATGGGGCACGAAAGGGCCAAACAGTCTGGCTTCGCTTAGATCCATCAGGAAAGGTTTCCTGAAGAGGAGGATCAGGATATGGGAGAGCCGAGGCGTGGGGAAGGGGTCTGGCATGAGGCCAACCAGGTCCCTGGGTGCCTGCCCCACAGACCTGCTGGTGTGACACCAAGCAAGTCACTTCCAATCTGGTGTAGTTCGGAGGGGGCTGGCGCACCCAGCCTCACCTGAGTCCTCACTCGGGCCGGTGGACACTAAGCAGGCAGCGTGAGAACTCCCCGACTCCTTGGCCCTCAGTGGCTCCCAGGACCCTGGGGGAGGCTGGCCAGGTGCAGGCGTGGCGGGAGCAGGATGCCTGCCCGGTGCCTGCCATCCCCAGCCTCAGCTGCACCTGGTCAGCATGCCCGGTCTTGGAGCCCAGGAAGTGGCACTGCCGGTGGTCCTCCAGCGATCCCAGGGCACACAAAAGCCTGAGAACCTTCACCCCCTGGGGGACCCTATGGGCACTCTGGTTCGGGGTCACAGACACAGGACGCTGGACCCGGCACCACCCACAGGAAGATACGGAGCAGAGCAGCCACGGGGCTGGGAGCGGGCTGTGGGCTAGGTGGCTGAGGCTCAGGGATTAGAAGCAGCAATTTCGAGCCACAGTACATGGATTCTAATCCCTCTGCTGCCCCGCAACGAGCTGTGTGACCTTGGGTCAGTTGCTTGACTTCTCTGAGCCTCAGTATCTTCACCTGAGAAGTAGAAAGGATAACCGTAC